AAAAATGGTACATGGCATTCTTCGAGACAAAAGAATTCCACTTCCAGCTTGTGCTTACCATGTTATTCGAAAAACTTTTAATTAAAAAAAAAATGAATACTTTGCAGGGTATGAAGAGGACAATCTGTAAAATAACATAACATTATATATAATTTTAGGTGTTGTTTGCATGAGCCCAGCTAGTAGGGATTCAGTAAAGTGTGGAATGATTTAAGCCACTCTTGATATATTGCATCTTCGATTCACACTTATACTTGTTATACAAAACATACAAAATTACAATTCCTTTCTCTTTATTCTTTCCATGCAGTCAATTCACACTTCACTGAATCCCAACTAACTGGGCTCATACCACCAGGTCCTACAAAACTGGTTACTTTCGGTTTTTTGGACAGTTCATTATATTTTTATGGCCTTTCATTTTTATGTCATTTCCTGCTGTAGAACTCTGATCACCTTTGTGGCAGAGGTTCCAGCAGTCAAAATACCAAATGACAATAGCAAATTTCCAGCAGGAATGGAAGTCCCAGTCATGACTGGTTGACTATTCCATGTTGTGGCTGCTACACATTTTTGATTGGAACAACTAACTTTCACTTTTGCCATTGAACCATTTTGCAATATCTCAACAAGAACATCATCTGATTTGCAAATTGGGCAGAATTTAAAAAGTTCAAACAGTTGGGTGAAGAACACAATGAATTTTTTCTCTGTTCTTAGGTTGGTGTCTTTGCTGAGCACTCTACAAAAGAAAAAAACTCAATTTATGAAATGCAATAGTAGCTATCAATAAATACAATTACATTACATACTGGCACACATTATTTGTGTCATCAAGATAGTGACTGATTAAATAAGCTGTTTAACTTTGATTTATTTAACAATCACCACTATTTTAACATTGTCATGGTGATTGATACATTACAGTTCTCATCCAAAAATTGCTACCTTTTAAATGTTCTTGGCTGCTCTGATTCAGAGTCAACTTCCATGTCACTAGATGTGATTATCTCTTCTGTCTCAGTCTCTTAACTTTGTTCAGCACCAAGATCACTCTCTGTGTCTGAGTCACCACTAAGATCATTTGGGTCCAAAACCTCCTCAGCAGGACAACTATCAAGATCAACCACTTTGCAACTAGTTGATGATTCTTCATTGCTGCTGTTGTCATACTCATCTATGAAATAAGATACTTCAGTAATGCGCAGCTACACAAGGTTGATTAAGTCCATATTTCTTAGTAATTAACTTCAATAATTTTCCAGGGGTGCATGCAAGCTTAGTTGGTAGTATTGTAGAAATTGAGGTTATTAAACATGGCTGAGCCTATTACGTTGGCAAATCTTCTCTTGACCTAGAATCATATACGAAATAAAATTAACAGGCGTATTATCTTAAAAAATACTTACCCACGGCAAGCATATCCATATTAGAACTGCTTGCATAAGTTCTGCTACACTGAAGCTTAAGCTTTGCCCCAAGCCATAAGTTCCTGTAACGACGTTTCTCTTTTTCAAGTTTTAAACAATTTTGGCATTGTAATTCACATTGCACAGCTACTTCCTAAATTAGAAACAACAGCAATACATATACAAAACAATAATTTACGTTAACCTTTACAGCAGTGGCGTAATAATCATATAAGTTTACCTTCTCTAATACAGGCTCATCACAAGTTGTTTCTTCTATTTGCTCTTGAGGTTCGCTACTAGTACTGGGAATATTTTCTGATTCAACCTCTCTTTTATAATCAGACATCCACTTTCTTTTCATGTAAAATGACATATATTTATGAAATATACTCTCACACAAATTCCAGGTAAAATGTAGATATGCATATGTATAATTTTTAACGTACTCACCATTCTGCGATCTCTTGTTGTAAGTTCATTGTCATCTTTTCGAGAATAAATGCTCGGGTAAGAAAGCGAGCCGAATTGCCGAGAAAACGAATCTTTTGTGAGGTGTTCCGAGCAAACTGCGGAATTCTTTGTGGGGATTTACTTATCGAGAGTAGCTTTCTCAAAGTTGACCCATCGCTTTCTCCTACGCTTAGCTTCGCTTCTTTCGTCGTTAAAAATGGTATGCGATGAAGTGAAATGCCTTTCTCCGAACTGGCTACGTTAGAACAACCAAAAACTACACATCGATCTGGCATTTTTATGTTTGTTTACATGCATAAACAGTGTAAGTTGTTTTGGCAGTCAGTCTGTGTTCCTTAAATGACGTCACAAGTAAGTCCCATACCACGGATTAGAGCTCTCGACATTTTTTACAAAACGTTGAAATTCAGGTGTTATTCGCATCTTTGCCGAAAGATAACTCAAAAACGAAAAAAGTTATTCAAATTCTGTAAACGGCGTCCGTATTATTTATCCAAAATCTATTTGAGAATAAAAAACTAAAAATAGCTGTATGTGCACTTTAAATAAAGTTGGTATTCATGTTGCAGCAACATATCACTGCCGAAATGAATTGAGAAATGAACATCTTACTGATTTAAAAGCACTAGTAATACAGCATTTCTGGAAACGCATCACAGTCGTTCCCCATTGAGTTATTGATACACAAAACGTCATTTTGTGTTGGATAGACATTTTGAGTAGAAGCAGTAAGCAATGCTTAAAATAACTTTCTTGCAGACTTTTTCAAAAATATCATTGTTTCCAGCTTTAAGTATAATGTCTCAATGTGTCAAAAGGACTTCGATTCTGACATTTGTTTAAAAACAACATAATAAAGTGGCTGAGTTAAAAAACACTCGTAAGCTCAAAAAGAATTTTTTTACGCTGTGTAAATGCAATTTCAACTATTTAGATTATGAAAGTATTTACTTTTTGCCAAATCCAAGAAACAGGCTTGTTGCCTGACCATGTCTTTACTATCAATTCTCTAGTATTCATAGTTACAAATTGAGAAATAGCTCATTTAAATCTAATTGCTTGTTGGTTTATTAAAAAAATGAAACTATAAAATCACATAGCAAATCATATATTTTGATTTGGTTGAAAATTTTATTTATATTTGGATTTATATAATGTTTTTCTGACGATGGCTTTGGTTTTAGAGTAGATAAAGTAAGCGGATATTACTTCTTGTTAAAATAATTGTAAAAATTGTCTAAAAAAGTCCCGTTTTACTCTATGAAAGTCATTTTTAAACTCGATAATCCACATTTTTCTATATTGTTTATAATAAAATTCTTTAAAACTACTGCCAAAGAACATAGCAGCACTCACTACCAGCAATTGTCGGTGTGACCAAAAATTTGAAAGGAATATCTCTCTGCTTAATTACATATTCTGTGGCCAATCATTTATCTGTGTAAGCAGTCAAGTGTTTGTTTTTTGGAAAGAAACTTTTTTTCATCATTATATTTTTATTATAATATGATGTTAATGAAATCCGTTATTATTTTATCCTCTACCTTGTGTGCGAAGGAGTTGTTCCATTTTTTTTCTTAATTTGTTCACATTAATGCAGCAACAACCTGATTTAAACCTAGAAATGTCACCAGGAGAAAAAGAGTTCATTCTGTGCTTGATCATTCTGAAGATGACTACCGCAAAGGTTGTCGGAACGTCAGTCAACAACAACAAAAACAGTTTTTTCTCAGGACTATACCAACCTGGACGATCTACATTTACAAACATGTAACGATACTCCCGGGTTCAAACCATTTACTTTAATATTGTTAACACAAAAAGAATGAAGTTCATTGAAGTGTGACTCGGTTAATGTAGCTTATCTCGAGAAGTCATATTTCACTTTCTACCTATTTTTGGTACTAATTTCGTTTCATGAAGTTCAATTGTAATAAACTACGTGTTTGGTAATAAAGTCACTGCAATTAGTTATTCTTATACTCTTTTCTTATTCTTTTATATGTAAGAAAAATGAATTATAATTATTTCATTAAATGGAGCAACAGTTCCTGTAAATTAAAATGCTGTTGATGTGCGCAGTTTAATATCAAAATCACATCTCACTTATGTGCTGTTCTCTGATTACAGCACTATTATGTTTTATAATTCTAAATAAAAAACTCTCTCATTTTAAAGTCCTTGCCAAATATTACTTGTTCAATCCTGCCATAAAATTTATTTACTCCTGTCACTTTTCAAGATGATGATCTGACACTATTGCAACACTAGTAACATTGACTATTACTCCATTTCATTAGTTTGGCACTTTTTTATTACTTCAATATGTCTTTTGGTCATGCTCCAAAAACATGCTCCTAGTAAAGCGTAAAATTGATTGGTCGATACAACCTACACAGGTTTTTTTAGATGCAAACAGGAGGGCAAATTGAAATTGTGTTGTAGAAAGCTATTATTAAAAGCTAACTGATTAATACAAAGGCTTATACCATTGTTTATAGTTATGTGATTCTTATTTTGTTGAAATAGCCTTTTGTGTCATGCCAAATTTATTTTAAGATAATATACTCAGTTTTTCGTTGACCTCCAAGCAATCTTCACGACTTAACAACATTAATATTATTCCAAGTTTGACTCAATTCTTCTCGAAACCCAATTTTCAACAACTTTTGCATTATTCATGCTACCAACAATAACGCCTTCCTACACAGTCTCATATACACGTAAAAAGTCCTGAGAATAGTAAATGTATGCCATGATCACCACGAGGACATCTGAAGTATTTGAATTTTGTAAAATACTCTTCCTACTAAAAGTGTCGACGACAATTGTAAACAACACTCGTTCTTTTGGGAATGCAATCAACAAAGTTGATTCAAGGCAGTTCAAGTATAGATTCTTGTGTATATGTACGTTAACAAATTTGTAACATCTTTCTTTTATATTTAAATATCGTATTCACCAAGATAATAGCCTAACATTCAACACCACATAATTTTATAATTAGATTAAACGCTGAAAAAATATGGTTTCTCAATAATTATTTGTTGATTACATCCACCATTTGTCCCCCCTTCTGTCTACGCCACTGGATAAGATAAAGAGAAAACAAGATAATTCTTTCTTTTACTTTAAACATTGGCCTTTTTTAATATGCATCACACAATTAAAAATCGTTACGGTACAAATTGTACTAACCATGAATTTTTAAATATGTAAATATCATTAAACGATACTTTTTTTGTTACTTCAAAGCACACACCATGATTATTGCTTAGCGATCTCTTTAGTATTTTTTAGTTCCATTCCTTTTTCTATTTCCACTCGTTCGTAATGATGAGCCTCTTGACTTTTTAATGTATAAACTACAAGGACTATACACCATACAAGAGAGACGACTGAATATCCGTACAATGTAATTCGGATGCCACATTCTTTGAATAAGTATCCAGTTAACATTGAACCAACATCCTTACCGATACCATTTATAATAAGACTTAGCATACCTAAAATATTTTAATAAAAATTTTTTGATTAATCTAATGTCCGTTGAAATCCGTCAAGCCATATTATCACTTGTACGGAAGATAAATCTTACTAGCAATGTCAGCCTGTATGTAATTCAATTAAAATAGAAATTAAATTTAGTTCCTTGTGAAGTTTGTACTCATTTATTTTGTTTATTAAAACGGATGTCGTTTTAATGTTATTTAAGATGAGAGTTAATTAGCGAGGGGAATATATCTAAGACGTCCCTTGAGTTGTTTGCACGTATTTTAGCATCTTATCTTAGGCAAAACATACCAACATTAAAGCTTGAGAAGCACTGACATAGTTGAAGTAGATTAAGTTAATGATAGCTGTAATAGGAAATAATGTAATAGGCCGTAAGATGAGCATCCTAAAGAGGCGCACCAAACCAATTTCGTTGCACCCCTCACGAGGCTACACAATTTTTACATGAATAGATAGATATTAGCCTCATTAACCAGAATCCGTCACTTTTCAAGCAAAACAGGTGCGCAATTGAGTGAATTCTTCCCTTAAACGTTCGTCATTTTTTCGTTCGATGAATTTTAGATGCCAATATTTTGTGCTACGTACGCAAAGGCACACTTGCAAAACCTGTTCTACGCATGCGCACTTCACGCATTTATCTTCTAAGTGAAAACATTCTTGTCATAAGCCATTAAACTAAAATACATGGAACGCTACCTGTAATACAAAACCCTAATAATTTTTTGAATCCGTGATTTTACCCCAGACCGTGTGTTTACTCAATCAATTATAACTCCACAAGAGAATCTCGAAACACTAAATACGCGTGTCTGGGGTAAAATCTAGCGTGTCTGGCGTAAGATATGGCTTAAATTATTTGCTTGAGGTAGCGTTCCATGTATTTTAGTTCAATGTTAAAAAAAAAACAGTCACAGAGAAAGTTATACTTAAATACCATTATGATTTGGGCATTTTAACGGTGTTATGTATTTATCGAAAAAAGCTAAACGTAAATGTCAACAGGCTGAAATAGATGAGAAATCGTATGATAACACCAATAAATTCATGCAAAAAAACACTTTCAACATACTTGTTTTCACATTGAACCATCCAGAACATTTATAAAAACAGCTGGTTGTCAAAAAGCGCGAGCTCTTTCACCAAGCATAAAATTCTCCACAAACATCACGTACGCAAAAAACTTGTCGAACCCAAAATCGTTTTCTATACTTCATCATACACTTCTTTTTTTTTGTCTGTGCAGTATCAGAAGCATTACTAGTTGCTCTTTGTTAAGAGCAAATTTGAAGAAATTATCTGCAAACTATTTTCCGTTTTTTTTCCATTTCGTCAATTTCACCGTAAATTTTTGATTGTTGAACCAAACTGAAATTACTTTAAAAATAATAGAGAAAACCCTCGGGGAAACCTATCATTCTAATTGTGCGTTCGTAGTACAGGTTTTTAAGCGCATGCGTAGATGGCACAAAGTAATCTAAATCTGCATTTATCAAAACGCTTATAGCGCAAACTTTGAGAAAAGATTTCTTTCAATTGTGCACTGTTTCGCTTTAAAAGCTACAGATTCTTGTTAAAGAGATTGTTATCTATTTTTTAGTGCAAAAGTTATGCAGCCTCGCTAGGGGTGTAACGGAATAGCATCTTTTAAAGATTCACCACGGTCTATAAGTATTATCATCTTAAGGACAAATAACTGGAGAAGAGTCATGATCAATGTTGCATGGCGTAATTTAATGTTGCTTAAATGCCTTTGCTGAAACAACAAACTAGCATAAATCTATAAAGGTTTTCGTCAAGTTTTTAAAAATGATATCTTTTTTAACTAGATAATGATGAATTTAAGTCTGCTTCTATAAGCATGTTTACACTAACCTTGAATGTGTGCAAACAGTGATTCTGACTCCGAATTTGAGAAATGAAAAACTGCAGCTGTAAAAAATAAGGTATAGCCTGGGTACTCAAAGTTGTCAACAAAAACTACAAGCCATGGATTTTCCATCAATGCAAGAAAAGCAAATGATACAGCAAACGAGAGAAGAGAAAGTGTCATTGTAATGTGCTTCCCCAAACGGTTAAGTACCTGACTAGTAGCAAGATACCAAAATGCTCCCAATATCAGCCGCTTTAGAAGTCTTTCTACACCCATAAATGTTGTACTTGCACCAATTTTCAACAAATACCAATACTGCCAACGACTAAAAAATCCGTCACAAGCACCCACGTGTAAACCAATGCACAGAATAAGAATATGTTCCCGTTTCATTAAAGTCCTAATAGCTTCACTTAAGTAAACTTTTTCCGTCTTTTCTTCGTAATCAAACTTCAACCACATTACCCCAAATAACATGAAACAATGCAGAGCTGCTGCCACTGGAAATGCAATAGAAAAACTTGGTGTTTCTACAGCACATCTCGTATATTTAAAATATCCTGCAGCAATTGACACAGTACAAATTGTTAATCCTGCTCCTATAGTACCGCATCCAAAGCAGCAAGTAAACTTGAATTTGTTATTATTAGCATAATTTACAGCAGCAACAGTTACCAATCCAACTGCCAGTCTTCGACATAGTTCAAAAATTCCACTCAAAAAGCATAAAAACACAAAATACCAAAGTCGCAGACCACTACCATCGCTCCACGCGTCTTTGTAGTCTGTCAAGTTATTTAAAGTCATATAATTACTTGCATTTGTGTACTCCTTTAAATTTAAGGACCGATTTATGAACTCTGCTTGTGTCTTGTTGTAAAATAACTTGCTTTCGTCTTTCTGAGTCGTTTTTTTGCATGGTAAATTTATCTCTCTGGGAATTACATACATCAAAACTGTTGGTATGTTTATCAAAACTGACAAAATTAAAATAAACTTAAGCATTTGAAATTTATCTGCCAAATAACCACAAATAGGAACGCCAGTCAACTGTGTCACCAGACCAAACAAAGGTATTAAACCGATGTAAAATTCATCGTAGCCTAACTCTTTCAAATAAAGAGAAGTAAAATCTTCCACTGTTTCTGCACCGGCACGGAACACAAAGAAAACTGCGTACAACACGAAACTATCCTTTGAGACCATATCATCAAATGGAGTTTAAACTACTTAATTTAAAATTTGCTTCTTCTTTAATCATAAATAGTAATTGCAGGAAATGTGAAGTCATCTTCTGACAAATCAAGCATAAAGTACTAACAAAATGAATTGCTTTTCCGATTGAATGAATAAGCGATATACCTTATTAGATTTAAATAATTCTTTAGCATACTGTATACTTTGTTGTATTCTGGTCGAATATTGTGTGTAAGACTAAACTCATATTTTGATATACTTGGTTAGCATCTATACCTTGAGTCTTAAATCTTATGTAAGTACTTGACATTGTACAGAGTGTATAAACAATAACATTTTAACTGATCAAAGTTGTTCATTAAGGCATGTGTTAAAACCTGGACTGGACTGTGGAATGTAGACTGTGAACGTTGGGATGTGAAATATGTACTGTTGACTGTTAGCTAATGACTATTGACTTTGGAAGAGATCCGGGGGAGTAGATCCTTGTATATTAAGAGTGAACTGGGGGGGTAAATTGTTATCAGTTTCAATCGCACAACGATGTGCCTTTTAGGATTTTCTAAAGCATTTTACATTTTACCGATAAAATTCAACTTTAAGCAATCTAACCTGTACAGCTATATAAACTTCTCATCTTCCTTTTCGAATGAAAGGAAATGATTAATATTCGTCGATCAATCACTTTGGTATTCAGTGCAGAGAGAATGGCGTTGGCGTAGCACTGACGTTTTTCTTTGGTGTTACATTTGAGGTTTGTGATGTAGCCGTCATCCCTTAGTATAATTTGACATAATCCAACAAATTAGAGATGTCACAAATAGCTGTATAATCGCAGTTACACTCTGTCTACACTGATGCATTTTGATGCGTCTTGGCTTCCGTCAACACTGACACGCTCAAGAACATATACACTACCAAATGAAAACGTATCGATTCGAAGACGCTTTCCAAAGTAGAGCGATTTGAAAACGCGTGCGTTTTTGTTTTGAACCCTGTCCACAGGTAAGCGGATATTTTTAAACATTGCAGAAATATTTATACGGTTAAGGCTTCCGTCCACCTGTATCCAGATATATCACCCACACATACCGTACATTTTCGAAAACGATCTCGTGAGTGGATTTTTTTAACGCTGTAAGATCGTTTTCGTTTGGACGGGCAGGACGGATAAATTTAAAACGATGACCTAAAAGGGTTGCGTTTAGCGCGAGTATCGCGCAAAAATCGTATCAAGAGAGGTAAATAAACATGGCTTGAAAAGTAAAGCAATGCTGGATTTTCATAATAAAGATAAGAAGAAACGGTTGAATGTAATTCATCTTTTGTATGTCATCGTCATCAATTGATAAAACGTGCACCAAAAGAACGAAATATTGGGGTAAGAGCAATACGAACAAATGCTTAATAGAATAACTGATGAGGAAATAGTTGTCCCTCGGGAATGGAAAGAAAATTTCCGGTTGAGCAGACTATCATTACATCTATTGGAAGAGGAACTGAGAACCTACATCTAAGTCCAATATACTGTAATGACACTCGTGTTGCATGTTCTAAATGTCTAAAGCAAGACTTCTTAACTTGAGAGCGTCGCATGTATGTGATGTAAATTAATAAATCAATTCCGTCTCTTATAAAAGGCAATGTATGATTAAGCCATTAATTCGATTATAAAAATACATCAAAGGGGATCAAGTAAATTTGTGTTTGATGTCAACCATACGTTACAACCGTGAAATAAATTTGTACGCCCTATGAAACTTATTATTACGATTTATTCTTGTATTTATTACGTTTTTACATGAGGATGTTGTAGTTCCCTTTTGCCTATCAATGAGTTTCGACATTTGCAAGTGTTGTCAAATGTCTGAGAATAACAGAGGAACGATGGTTTACCAACTTTAATACATTTCCAAAACTTTGAGCATTCTTTATGGCAGCATTTTTGAACAGACTTATCACATAAGTAGCGACTTCCCATTTTAATAAAACACAAGTGATTACAAACGAATGGACAAATCTGAAAAGGAAAGAGCATGGTCATTAGATGCTTGAATGAATCCACGTATAACTCCCAAATGATGAAATCATGTACTAGTTGATGCGTGCTGTGCTGTGCAACTGCAAAATCAATGCATGAAAATTTTTTAATTTTCATCAACCAACACGAATTTATATGCCCTGTTTTGGCAAAATTTTTCACGGGTCGGTTTTTGATATTTTTAGCAAGTGCACGTGGAGACTGTTGACTTCAGAATCTCGTCTCTGAAAACAGTTACAGAAATTCAAAGAAGAAAAATGCATGCAAGAAATCGTGAAATAACTGTTTGTTTGAATTATCTTTTTCTAATACACTTACAACTTTATAAATTCCGTATGATACATGTTTCGGCGCAAACTTTAATTTAGGATCATTTTTGGCATTGATTAGTTTCTGTGCGTTGTCATTTATTTCCTTTGCTTCAGCTTCTTTTAAATAATCTGGTCTGGCTGACACGGAGCAGATCACAACAACAAACATCAACAGGATAATGGCGCGTAATTGCATTTTAAAAGTTTCTCTACAAAAACAACAAAAGAATTCAAATGTTTAAAACAAATGGAAAGTAAAGAAACTACTTTATTAATGTATTGCGTTTATTAAACATGCAATTTCAAACCCTGCGTACGTGGTATCCATTTTTCTTTAAAATTTTAAGCTTGTTCAAATAATCTATTCAATTACATTTTGAACTTTATCACGCATAGCTTAATACTACATGGTAAAAAAAATATTCTATTTTGTCTCATGTCCATAAAACGTCTAAATACAAAACAAAAGCTCGGTGTTTAATTGAGAGCCACAAAAAAATATCCACGTGTACAAGTCTAATGCTCTATTTTAGTAGAGGAATGATGGAGTACCCCTTTATCTAACTAAGAAATAACACGATAAAAATCCGTGATATTATATAATCACACAGTAATAATGTAAGTTAACGTTAATCGTTTTATCATACCTTTACTGCTGTTCTTTATAATGGTTCCTTTTTCTCAAATACCTTCTTGCTTGGGATTGAAGTGTGCTACGATGGCAATGTAAGCCGTATTTATACCATTTACTTCTTGCATTTACGTACAATTTAATATGCATACATAATGCGCATAATGAATGACGTTAATATAGTTTCATTGATGGTTACGATGGACAAGTTAATAGTGCTGTTCTGCAACCGCATAGGCTAAAAAATATAAAAATTTACATCCATAACAATTAGCATTCTTCTTGAAATTTCTACGTCATATTTGCCAGGATTCGAGTTCTATGGAATTATTAATCTTTTAAAGAAAAACTACTTACTTGACGTTTGAAAAACAAAAGCAAACAATTCCCTTTGTAAGGAGTGAAAAATAATTTACAATTGCAAACAGTGATTAGAAAAACAGCTTATTATTTATGTTTTTGAGCTTTGTAATCAAGCATGTGCTAAGACTTTTAAACTTTGCGTCTTTCAACTTTTTATTAAGTTCAATAATATAAATTTAAGTGTGATATAGCATTTCTTACACCTGGCTGTATTTAGTCATACGCTTGTCATTGTTAATAGCAACTTAATGGAAATATGATTACGTTTTTGTGGTTTTTAAAACTCAATTAATGTCGCTTGACTTTGCAAATCCTTTGCGCCAAAAAGTTAAAATAAAAATCAGTGCCTGACACTTTAAATTTTAATTTTTTAACTTTTATGCTTCAACTAATACTAAGCAAGATGTAATAAATCTCAAAGGCGCAGAACTGTCAATTCACTGAGCAGTTTTGAATGCTAGTACATTAGTGTGCATAATTACTTATAGAATGCATAATTGTTTTGCTTGCTTTGTTTTCTTAGGGATACTCTGTAACTCGGCAGATTTGGTCAAGTAGTTTTGTAAGGGTAACACCAGAAACATGGCAAAACTTCTCTTGGCTTTAATCTGTCTTTCAGCATAACGTAAACAGGGCAAATCACTTATAAAACAAAGTTTTAATTTAGACTAACAGAAAACAGCTTATTTCTTAAATACCGATGATATAGTTATTGCATATAAAAGATAAACGTGCAAAAGATCAACAGTTCAGTGAAATAGTTATCGTGAAAGTCCTCTCTAGATGTTAACAAATTAATGCAGCGGCGGATCCAGTGTAAGTCGAAATAAATTATAGCTCCAAAACTTTAAATTAAAATTGCTTTCAGGAAGGCACTATTAGTTTTTAATTTCTAAAGAATAGAATTTTCCCAATGGATTACCATTAAGGTGTTTAGAAATGTAAATTTACGCCAAAATGTGCTGCAGTAATGTATTTTGACGTAGTCTGGATCCGCCACTGAATTATAGTCTTAATATTTTGTTGCTTATTCTTAGTTTTACAAGCACGTCATAGTCGCCGTGTTTGATGAATTTAACAAAGGATTTTTCTTAATTACAATTCAATTTTTTTCTAATATGGTTTGCATTGCACTGCTCTCTTACAAACAGGGGGATGTTTGCAACTCACAAATAAATACTTACTTAGGATTTAGTGTTTTAGCGTTTTCTTGATATTCAAGGTGATACAAAAGTTTCAATAACAGATTGTGTAATATTTCTTTTTTATTCCAAAGATATCGTAAGACTAATAGTTTACTAAGTATGCAGTAAAATTTTTATATATTATTTACAAGCGCAAGAAACAGTTACGTAATCGAGAGAACTACCAGTCTCAATAATTAGGGAGTTAATCTACATTTAAAATAGAGGTAATTCCTTAAGTGGGCATTGAGCCCACTTACATAATTTTCAAACTTATATAATTTGATATGAGTTGATATGATTTGTCTATTGAAAAGAATGCCATCCGAAATTTCATTTCAAAAATTTTCAAAACCATCCCCTTTATTCCAAAGCCAACTCCCCACTGAGACCAACTAAACTTAAATTCGGCAACTGAAATTAAGCATTACTAGAAACGTGTACCTTCAAACGTATTATCATTGCAGACTAACTTTTTTCCATAGAGTAAGACCAATAGGAGATCTGTGTAATGAACCACTTTCAACCTTGTGAGGCTAGCATGTTCTGAGAAATTACTTTACAAATTTATAACATTTTTTTCCGGTCGAAGCACTTGGATGAAAAATCCATATGTTATGCACAAGTTTCCAATACATCTAATAATGGTTTATTACACAGCTAATAGTTTCAAAAATGTACCATATAAATTGTAGAGTAATGTCTGAAATAGTTTTTGAGATATTGTGTTTCTTATGTGAAACAATTCCCTAAAATTAACATTTCGAGAAATTCAAGTATAATAAATTCATATATAAATGTTTTTCTCAGCTTGGAAAGTCCCATAAACTGTCATTTCTCTCTCTTCTAAATCATTACATCATTCTTTCTTGAAGTATTTCAGATTTCTCCTCCTTGTTTTAGCTTTCTCTGATGGCTTTCTTTTTGAATACCGGATCGTTTTCATGTCCAACTTTTCGAAATCCCAGATTGTATTCAACCCAGGGTTTATATGAATGTTTTCCAGAATCGTCATAAAAGATTTTGCACCATCATTAAAGTGACAAACTGCTAAGACAGTGGCCATTTTAACTATAAGAAATGCAAAATGGATTTCGTTGGTAGCACTTTGCCAAATTAATGCGTTGAACGGTTCATTCTGCTTCTGGGCTCCTCCATGCAAGCAGCTTGTGAGAAGAGACTCAGTGTCTCAAAGTTGTAAAGACACGAAGGATGGCATTTGAAAATGCTGTTGGAAGTGGATGGTCATGTGCATAGTCAGATGTTCCTTTTACAAGATCTCTCTGAAAGCCACACCAAGAGTACACACAGCAGGACATAAGTTATGCAATGGCTTGTCATCAGTTGATCGGGCGTGATTCCAAATAGCCATGACAGCATATTTCATATCCTAATACGTGCAGAGCTGTCTCTTATTGCTCTCCCATGATAGACTTGAAGTTTGCCTATAACTTTATCAGTCAGTCTTTCCCTATCACCAATACTCTACCCATCTTCAAGTTTATTCCTACTCAAGGGCTTCTTTAGAGGACGCAGCCGAGAACACATTCGCCTTTAAACATGCCCAATACACTCAAGTTTTTTTACAGCAATAACACTATAAACTGATGCTTCTCTAAGTAAAGCAAATGCCTTACTGTCAACATCTGCAAGAAATCAGTCTTCCGCAATTAGTACATCTCAGTGGATCGTTGAAATATTGCAAGTACACCAGCAGAATCCATTGCAACAGAAGAACCTGTAAAATTTGCTTGCCACGAATGTTGATGAACTTCCCACTAAATATCAAATTCAATTGTTCCTTGCTTTCCTCTTAAATATCCACATTTCTTGCATTATTTTGACATAATTTCTACATCAATAACCTTGCCAGTTGCAAACGACATTCCAGTAACCATACATAATCAGAATACTACCTCCTCTTTCGCCATGTACCATCTGCAGATATGCCAATATGATAATCATTGACTTCGTCAGGTTCATAATACTTTTTGATTTCTTCAACAGCAATGTCCATGCTTTGCTTAGCAGCAATTTCGGCAGCAGTTTTACAAGCCTTGATATTGATTGAATATGCGCTGTTATTTATGGGTATGCTCATAACAACGGCATATTTTACCAGAACATAATGGCCAACACGAATATTCCTGGCAACACAACAACCCTTCTATTGACTTCAAACGCCTACCCTTTCTTTGCTTTTAGCAATGTGCAAAAACTGCTAGAGTACTTGCAATTTCTATACATGCAATTAAGATTTAGTGATGAAGCAAATCCCATCTTGTTTTCTTTATTTTCCTCCATTATGACATGTCTTGACTTACATGTTGGGCTCCAAAAAGATTGAGAAATGGAGGCCAAGATATAGAGGTGCATCAAAGAAAATCCTGTCTCTGTCTCTTCTTCTGTGTTATCGCTCGATATATCGCTGTTCTTGTGCTATTTTAATTTCATCTCGGAAGGAGAGGTTAAATCTCGTCGGAGGGTTTTATCGCTTTCACAACGCGATTCTTTATCATCCTTTGCAACCATTTCAGAAGCAATAACTTGTTGTGAACTCACTCTACAAGAATATTGATTTCCTAGGAATATTCTCTATCTGCTTCTCGAATCTTCAAACTTCTTTTTTAGAGGCATATTGAGAAAAATAACTTGCTTTACTGAACGTATGTAGTAAACTCTGTGTGTGAAGTTTGTAGGCACGTTGAAATTGTGTAGCCAGGCCTTAGTATTATTAGATAGGTAACAAGCCTCTCCATTTCTTTCTTAGTGTTACATATATCAGTGCTCTATGATATAACAATCAAAATTTCTGATGATTTTTGGAAATAAAACGAATGTTTTTTAAATTGGTTTCCTTTGAAACGCAACAAAAACTGATAGGACATTTTGTAAGACCATTTTTTGAAGAAAAACCAGAAGAATAACTTTTTCTTTCGTTTTCTTAAATATACGATGATTGGAGATACAAAAATGATAATAACCCAAAACTATAATTTTGAATAATTTTTAGAGTATCGGGTTACCGTTGTGACATATATTGGAGCACTTTTGTTAATACGCAAAACAACCTGATTGACCGAGGCGGTCTCGGTCGACAACGGTCTGGTCTTTTTTGTGAAGAGGGGTTTAGATTATATGAGAAAACGATGATTTTTTACGAAAAAAGAATTTTATGCAAGTTGTGTAAGTTGAGACAAAATATTAATTATTCTTACATGGTAATTAAGTATTATGAATGTAATAGACACAAGCTAAAATATTTACAATTTAAAAAGGTTGTTAAAATGTTAAAATTGTTTGTTGAATTTTGGCTTGCGTTTACAAGAGTGTAAATCTTCTTAAATTTCAGAGTAAATTTATTGTTGGCGGTGTCTAAGATGGGGAAACTTGAGCGAGTGTATTTGGATTTGCAGTTAGGACTTTTTAGTAGGTGTTTGTTGATGTGTGAGTTTTTCAGAAGTTATGTGTTCTTTAATCCTGTTGGCTAGATGTCTAGTGGTTTCCCCAATGTAACATGAATTAAATCCTGCGCATGTAAATTGG